CATGAGAGCAAGTGTGAGGGAGGGAAGGGGGAGAAAAAAGGAAACAAACAGGAGGAGGCATCCAGGAACATGGAATAAAAGAAGGAGGAAAGGAAAAAATGAGACAGAATCCTTAAACATGTGAGTAAATCTGTTCCTCTGTTCCTCATAGAATTTATGGAACTTGTCTCTAAAAGTTTTCATAGGAGAAAATCCCCTCTAGTGTGATGTCATCAGCTTTTTTAAAAATATGTTTTTACTGATTTTTTTTTTTTTTTTTAGAGAGAGAGAGAGGAAGGGAGGGAGAGGTCTCCGTTCGATTCCCAGTCAGGGCACATGCCCGGGTTGTGGGTTTGATCCCCAGTAGGAGGTGTGCAAGAGGCAGCCAACCAATGCTTCTCTCCCACATCGACATTTCTCTCCCCCTCTCCCTTCCCCTCTCTCTAAAAAATCAATAAAAACATTTTTCTAAAAGTACAGTTATCTCCTGAGATTTATAAAATATATCAGTCAATTAAGTCTAAATAAAATATGACTAACCAATGTAGAAAATGTGTAAACTTTAAGGATTTTTCATGCAGTCACAAGAAATACTTTATAATTTGTCATTCCAATGACACAATTTTATAGAATCACGCCACTTTGATATGGAATGTATCTCCACATCTTTGAGATGTGGGTGTTTCTCTACCTTCTGCCTCTCCCCGCAAAAGAGACATGGTGACTTAGAAGTTACAACTTTAAAAGTTTAGAAAAGTTTTCGTAGGAAATGAAAGAGCACAATGAGTTATTCAACATCTTCATATGATTATACTGAACAATATAACATCTTGTTCAAAGTAGGTGCTAATCTTCTGATGCTCTCACTCATCAAGGTAATATGATATCCATATCATGTGAATTCAAAATAGAAGCACAATGAATAGCAGCTATTAAAAGAAGGCCAAAATTTCAAGTGGTCCTGACACTACTTTATTCATCTGAAAGGTAGACATGATACTGTGGATAAATTGGATCAAAAAGGAATGAGAATATTGATCCTAACCCAAGGATGATGGTTAGTCCTTAGCATAGATCATGATCCAAATAATGAGGCATATAGTAAACGGTGTTCCAAGTCAGGAACTGTTCTTGTACTTTTCAGTATATCTTGTAAAATAAAACACATAAAACATGAAGCAATGGGAATTACTAATATGGAAAAGTGGTACAGAGGCTTAAAAGAAAGGAAAATATGACACATAGTTAGTATTACAAAACATAACTTATTTTAATGAACTGGATACAAAGGAAATCTTATAAAAGACCACAAGGCATTGATGAATTACTTCTCATAATTACAAAGGAAAGTGGTCTTTCTGGATTATTTCAATGCGGAACACTTGGAAGCAACAAAGAAATTTCCGTCCATTGGTAAATGTCTAAGAGGCTCATTATTTTTCTCTGAGTGAAAAATGAATACAGGAGAGGTATAATTCCATACAATATCTTATATTTTCAGCACCTGGACTAATTCAATGTCTGCAGTAAAACTTAGATACTCCTCTTTATATTTTAAACAGAAAAGAATTACAAGGCCATATAACAACTTATTTTTAAATAATTTCTGGAATGTTTTTCCTTCCTGTTCTATTTTTATATCTGTCTTAAAAATTACTGTAAAATATTCTACAATATATAAAGAAAGTAATAAAATAGCAACTGTAATTTAGATAATCAGGTAACTGTCATTTAAACTCTTAAAATGTGATTTATATTTGGCTGGAGTATATTTACTTCACATTGGATTTTTTTTATCCCAGCAGTAATATTTTGGTAAAATAGATTCTCCATCATCTTATACTTTGGTGAGGTACCCCACAATTTTCTGTTTGATGCTTTATATATGTATTTTAATTGGGTTAAAACTGTGAATGGGAAAATAAAATATGTTCTCATTTTGTCCTCATAAATTTCTATTTTATTCTTTCCTGTAACTTCCCTAGTCTAATACCATTTTAATCAACCTATCCTTAGTTCTTCTCATTAGAAATTTTTTTTTTTTCTCTTCTCAGAACTATGAACCACAGTGTTTCCCCAAGGATATGGCAGTATCTACCGGAAGCCATATTCCCTAATTTTTTTGATGTGGGAGCTTGATGACTTCATTCATTTAAGTTTTCCCCTAGGTCAGCATGATCAGTTTCTCAATAAGAATTCCATATTTTAAATGTAAATGTGATACTATCAACCAATGGCCTAAAACTTCAAGTAATGATTAACATATATTAAGTAATTGCTATTTGCTGTGGTCCCTGAAAAGCACTTTACATGCATTTTTCTCTTTTAATCCTCAAAACCACTCTTTCAAATAAATGGTATTGTTATCCCTACTTTTGCTTTTTAAATGGACAAACTGAGAATTTAATGGCAGATTTTGTTATTTATCCAAGATCATAGAGTGGATAAGTAACGAAGCTGGACTGGATATGAGGCCATCTGAATCCAGAGGCTATCATAAGTGAGAATGGACACCGACAATATGTGTTCAGACAGATGTGGCAAAAAAGTTCCCTCTGCTACCCCATGTAGAACACCAAATATAATATTGTTTAAGCTTAAAATCCTGAGCAATGAAATATTATAGAATCATTTCATATTAAAGTGAAAATGCCCTAAGAAACCACCTCTCGTTAAAATCTCAGCAACATTAATCTTATCAAACTTCTGTAGCTGATCTGCAGAAAGCAAGTTTTACCAGCCTCCAGAATCAGGGTATCTACTTAGAAGGAAAAATCTAGGTTGTTGGCTAGGTTGGAAGAATGTAGTCTGAGTAAAAGGCTCCAAGTCTTCAAGAACTTCAAGACAGAAGAAAGAGACTCATCCTTACAAGCTATGTATAATAAGCATGTAGCCCACGATAAGACAGGAGAGATGATTTCTAGTTTTAAGCTAATGGTTTATTTATCTATAACAGACATCAAATAATTTAAATAAAAATGCAAAAACTATAGGGTGGGGAGTAATCTGTGCTTTAATAAATAAATAGTCTTTATTAAAGGTAACAGTTAAAATTAAATTTTTAAAATCACTAGTTTTAGAATAAAGCAAAGGAATAATTTCGCTTTTGGAGTAATTTGGATAACATCTAGTTCAACATTAATCAGAAAATAGAGTGTAAATGGAATTTTTGTCCACTGTGAATCATTTTTACATCTATTTAGTACCAGGTACCACTAAAGGACAAGCTGGATACTCAGATATCTCTGATGGCAGCATACACAGATGTCACTACAACCATCACCATACACCTAATGCTAGAAATACCTTCATAGGCATAAAACGATGTTTACCATTTTAGATTGTGTTTACCCCTTTACATTCATATTACTATACAACTTTTCTGGGGGTAGAAGATTGTTGGTAAAATGAGAAATGGATGATCTTCAAATAATTATTAATTATGAAACTCTGGGCAAATCACTTCTTGTGTCTCAGTATTCTCTTCTCTTCTCTAAAATGAAGCAGCTGTACTGATTCCTAAGCTAAAGTCTAGAATGCCGTGGAGACACCCAAAGCAGAAAGGGCGGTCACACATAAAAGCTCTCCACTTAATAAAAGGATTAATCCAAATTAGTTCTCTTGGAAGACTACTCATATCTAGGAAAGGGCCTGTGTTAATATCAAAAGACAGCTCGCTATATGAAAATTTTAATTACCTTGGTCAAATAAGGAGGTAAATAAAGCAAGTGATAAGTATCATACTGGGAAGGACCAAAGGAGATGGGGAAAATGCATGGAAGAAACAGGAATAATCAGAGTGAGAGAAAAGTTGGTTGACGTCACTCTAGCATTATTCATAATAACAAGTACCTCAAAATATCACTTAAGTATAAAGTAAAATAAAAGTCATTTTCTGGCTGATCTGCTCAATCTAGAAATTTAAAACAAATTTGTAGTCCATTACATTTAACTAAATTATTGAAATTGCAAAACAGCTAACCCACTCTATGTTCAAAAGACATAGGTGGTTATTTACAAGTGCTAGCTAGCAGAGGCTGCTCCATCAGAGCCACGGTCTTCAACGTTGACAATGTTCAGTGTTTAAAATTTAATGTATTGAGATATCATGAGCTCCAACTCCCTTCTTGTGATTTTCCATGGTCACAAATGTACTTTCCATTTTAACTGAAAATCAGCCTTTTAAATGTTATATATTAAAACATACACAAATCAAGAGAAGCAACTGAAGCCAAACTACATTACCCAAAAAATGCTAGTAAGCTATCAGAAATTCTCTTCAGCACATTCATAAAATTTCACTCAGTTTCTTGATGTATTTTTCACTATGAACATCTCTAGTAATCTTAACACCCAAGTGAAGCCTTTTAAAAAATTAGAAACTGAACATTTTTTATAATATTATAAAGTTCACAAATGCATTTGAAACACTCCAAAAAGACCTGACTACAAATGTCTTAATGTCCATTTGACCTGTAAATTCATTTATGCCATCAAAGAAGTTGACTGTTTTCCCTTTGAACAAGTAATCAAAATCTGTGGCGTGAGGTGGTTCTACAGTAGCCGGATGAGCAGGTCACAACCCATCCTCGCAATCTCCAGGCTGGATTTGGTAAAGCAGGCAGGTAAATGGACATTACAAACGGGGTTTTGCTGTAACATCTGGACAGAATTTTTAGGATTAGGCTAATCTGAAAACACCAGCAACTCTGTAAAACACGTTCCAAGGTGATTTTAGAAACTAGAGGACCCTGTCCAGGTGCTCTGGCAAGTTCCAGCTACGGGGAAGTTGGGGACACCGACAGTGGCAACCTGGCCAGAACACGGATTGCACTCCCGCCTGGTCGCGTCCATACTCCCCTGCAAAGAGGCTGGGCTGCCAGAGGGACCGACAGGCAGCGATTGGGAGAAGTGGGCGGCCCTGGTCCCCACAGTGGACTGGATGGCCCTCAGTGTCCGCGGAGCCCTAGAGCCTCGCGGGCCGCCCCCCCCTCAGCTGCCCCGAACGCGCGCCCACCCACCTGGGGGCGCTGGGCTGCCCGAGTTCTGTTCCCGGCTCCCGCTCGCCCTGCCGGGCGCTGCAGGCAGCATCGTGCGCAGAAGCCAAGGCGCCTGCAGACAGGTGCTGCCCAGCTCCGGAGTCTCTGGCCTTGAGTTTCTTCGTTCTTCCGGAGCTGGTGGTCTCTGGGCCTCTGCCCTCCGCAGGCAGCTGGGCTGAGGTCTTCGCAAAGGCAGCCCAGGGACTCGGGCTGCAGGGTCGGGCTCAGCTTTGCAGGGCACCCTAAGGAAGTGAAACTGCTCTGGGGCTTGCTCTTGCATCCCTTTTAGGCTGGTTTGGTTTCTAACACTCTGGTCCTGTTCCCTCCTCACCTGTTCTCCCAGGATATGTTTAGAGCTGTGTTACCTGTTATGTAGTTCTTATCCCATTCTAGGTCTTCCACCATACACCCCTTCCCGGCAGAAATAAGGATATCAGAAGGCAACATTTGCTGGAAAATGGCGAATAAAAGAGATAAGTATGAATATAAAAATAAAGATATAGATAAAGATGTAGATGAAGATATTGCTTTATAAAATATTTTATTTTGCCCAGAGTTTCTGCGTTAGATTCATAAATTGCAAAGTCAGAACTGGGCCTAGTACAAAATTAGATATGGATCTAAATAGTTCCTCTAAACAAGAGTGTTTTTTGTTGCTTTGTTTGCTTTAGAAAGATTTGCACTTGACCCAGATCCTTAAAATAAATTTCCCTTCTTTCAAAGATCTCTAAATTACCTTATGAAATTAAAAAATATATATGTTGAACATCAATTTAAAGATTTGGTAATAATCTGCGGTTTCAATGCCCCTGCCTCCCTTTTTAGAAAAGAAACCTGAAAGGAAGGCTTATATAGCAACCATTTAGCTCACACAGTGTCATTTTAGGAATACATAAATATCAAGTATCTAAATGTTAATTGTTTTTCACATAACTGGACTTGTTTTTATAGTTTATAACATGAAGAAAACTTGAAGAAATATGTGAAATGTCAGCAAATTTTGAAAACTATTTTAGACATTTATTTTCTAAAAGTTCTTCTGAACTCATAATTGATTTTAAGTTGATCTTCTGTATTCAAAATAATGAAGAAATATTACCTAATTTAAGAAATAATACATTGACAAGTTTATTGTCTTCTGTGAGTGCCTGTTTACTTAGCCCCCAGTATGGTCCGATACAGACAGTGTTTGGGTTGCAGTGTACATATAAACTCTTGGTCAATATTTTCAGAATTTCAATTCTTAGGAAAGCATTAAGTCTTAACCAAGTTATTGGGAAAACAATGTCTTAATTGATATGTTTGCTAGTATATATATATATTCTTCACAAAAGATACATTGACCAAGATTTGAGGAGGAAGGAAGAGACACAAACACTCCAGCTTATGCCCTCCAATTACACATCCACATCTTCAAAGGCCTCCTTGTTAGTTCTGTGATTATTCTGAAACACATAATGCTCTCTTTCTCAATGCACACAAGCAATAGTTGATAAGGATAGTCTTCAGATGGCAAATTGTATCTGAAACCCACACGGAGAAGCCTTCTTGTAGGAAGAGCCCTGGGCTGGGGGGGTCGGAAGACTGCGGTTGCCATGTTAACTCTCCATTGTTCTATCTGGTCAACCAGGATAATTACTATTTCTATAATCTCAGCTAAGTGAGGAAATTAGAATAAATATAGTCAAGTCTTTGCCAGCTACACAATTTTTATAATCCTCTTTCCTATAATACACGTAGAAAAAATAAGATTTTACAATACATAGGAAAGTTAAGCATAGTTCCCGAAGCTCACTTTCACTATTTACATCAATATGATACAGGTAAACAGAAAAATAAAAGTAAAAATGGGTTTAAAATTATGGGTTGTTTTTTTTTAAACAACTTAATTTAATAAAGCTTTATATTAGAAAATCTTTTTAAATCTTCCATTCAAGTTCAAAAGTTACTCTAGCTATATATTTATTTCAGGTACTGAATGAGAACACAGTTCTTCATAAAGTAAAGTTTAATTTTATTTTTTAAACCTTTTATTTATTTTTAAAGTATTTTTATTGATTTTTTTTTTGAGAGAGAGAGAGAGGAAGCAAAAGAGAGGGAAACACTGACTGGCTGCCTCCTGCACACCCCCTACTGGGGATCAAGCACACAACTCAGGTCTGTGCTTTGACCAGGAATTGAACCAGCAACCTTTCCTTGCACTGGATGATGCCCCACCAACTGAGCCACATCAGACAGGGCAAGTTATGAGGTAATGTTTTAGCCATTTACTTATTGATTCTTTTGTTACCTTACCTGCTGCTGTTAACAACTACTCTGGTTTTGGGGTTCTGTTTTAAGTATTCAATGTGCCAAGCACTATGTTAAGTGTTTCACATGTTCATGTCCTTTTGTTTTCAACACAATACAGTTTGAACCATATTTTACAAAAAAGGAATCCGGGTTTTAAAGTTTCAAGTGACAGAGCTGGAATTTGACTCCAGAGCCTGTCTTCTTAATTAATAACCCTTCATTCCTTTCAAGGTCACAACGTCATTGCTAAAGATTTCATGGACATCATAGGCAATGTTATAACTATACACATATCAAAATTGCTTTTGTTTCCCTATCCACTTTCTCATGGAGCAATAATCTCACAGAAATGAACATCCAGCCCTGGCCGGTTTGGCTCAGTGGTTAGAGTGTTAGCTGGTGGACCAAAGAGTCACGGGTTTGATTCTGGTCAAGGGAATGTACCTTGGTTGCAGTTCTTCCCCGGCCCTGGTCGGGGTCCTGCAGGAGGCAGCCACTCAATGTGTCGCTCTCACGTCGATGTTTCTCTCTCTCTCCCTCTCTCACATTCTATTTGAAGATAAATAGAAAAATATCCTCAAGTGAGGATTAAAAATAATAATAATAATAATAATAATAAAGAAATGAACATCCATTATTTTTTGCAATAGGCGTGAACTGAACTCATAATTCATTACAATGTTGGTGCTATTAGACTGAGGATATGCAGACACTATTTTCACACAGAAAGGAAAATGTGTGGATCACACACACAGATGTGGAGACTTAAGTAGTACATGTATTCTCAAGTTCCCCTTTGCAATTATGAAATGATATTTTTAAAATATTTTCACTCACTTTGGTTTTGTTTCTCAATGTCAGCTGCATGTTTTGTCACAGTTGACTTTATTCTCTTCCTGCTCATTCCCTTAAGGAAATGATTCTGTCTGAAATGCTGGGTTATTTCTTGGTTGTTGTTCTTAGGGGGGAGGTACTTAGTCATTGTCACACTGAGATGCTTTTCAGTCAGAAGGCCACCAGCGATGTGTAATCACAAGTTTCTGATGTTACCCGTGTTACAGAGGACAAAAAATGCTCTCCGTGTCTGTTTCCTGTTTCTTAGTATTTCATACTCTTAGATCCATTGACTCCTTCCCCTGAATTATTATTATTATTCTTTTTTGTAGTGCAAACTGATTATCTCAATATTATTTCCCACTTTGTGGAGATTATAAGAGCCTCACGTTGAGTCGATGTTCCAATAAGTGGCTGGTGAAAGCTGCTCACGTTGCCCTCTTGCAGTTGCCACGGCCAATTCCTCGGGTGCTCTGTGGACTGGATGATTTCGCTAATGCTGTTGGCTTTATATCCACTTTTAGATTCTATTCTTTCCTAAAGCATCGACCTATTAGGCAAGTGAAATCATACTTTGCTCCTTTATGGCTATTTATTATTGGAGAATTGTTCTCTTGAAAACCATGTCCAGATTTTTAGATTCTGAATTATATTCTCATAGTTATTGTGCTTTTTAGTTGCTAGATCAAAACTAGACCAAATACTGGAAAGGTCTGGAGGAACTTCCTAGCAATGACATTGGGTTGCTGCTCTTGGGAAGCTTCCTTCGCCGTCTTATCCTTTCTCACATTTAACTGGATTCTTTGGTACTGGTCTGTGTAATGGGCCCTGTCAATAAAGTCACATCATAATCCCAGAACCTGTGTATTACTACCTTCTACTACATGGATGATGGAATTAAGTTAAGGACCTTGAGATGGGAAGTTTGTTTTAGATTATCCTGTTGGAGCATTGTAATGAAAAAGGTACTGAGAAGATGAAGGCAGGAAAGTCAGAGAAGAGATGTGATGAGGAAGCTGAGATTGGAGTAATGTGCTTTGAATGTTGAGAAAGGGCTACAAGCCACGGAGGCTTCTAGAAGCTGGAAAGGCAAGGATATGTATTCCCCTGAAGATCCTCCAGAGAGAACAGGCCCTGCTGAAACCTTGACTGATAGCCCGGGCAGACCGATTCTGAACTCCTGACTTCCAGAACTGTACGGAAAGAATGTGTTGTTTTAGGGCACGAGATTGTGGTAATTTACTGAGCCACAATAGGAAGCTAACACAAACTTACAGTAATAAACTGAGGGTTTGGGGAAATTCATTAATAAGAAAATAGAAATATTTTTTTTACATTCTTCTAAATAAACATAGATGAGAGAATATTCAATTCTCTTTAGCATTAATTTTCTAAGTCTCTGTGGAGCAATATCTCACTGTTAATTGGTGGTTGTAGTAGCTTTTTGATATTCCTTCCTGCAGGGCTATCTGCATTATGAACTTGCTTCTGTTCTCTGGTGAGTGAGTAGAAGTGCTGAATCTTCTCTTTTCTATTTGATTGAGAATGACTTGTCGAACTAACCAAGTTTTCTGCTTGTACTACAGCTGATACCACCTGTGCTACACCCCAGCCTGTGCTGACAAGTGAAGGGATATTACTTGGTAAATCTGAGTTTTAACAATCAATACTATAAAACGTTTGGATGTCAAGAAATGCAAAATCCTCCATTTCTCTTTTTGGTTGTTTTGACTTTCTTTGTGACCTCTGGTAATTTGCTTCTATTTTAACCTTATAATTATTGATTTGTTTAAGATTCAAACCTCACTTCCTTCCTGACATGTAATAGCGTTTTTCTTAGCACCCAATTCACCACAGCTCTCTCAGTATCTGAACCTGTTGGCTTCACTCCTCTGTAGGATTGATCAAAGGAAAAAGTTACTTTGTGTTTTCTTTTTTAAATTTCTTTTTCTTTATTGATTTTAGAGAGAGAGAAAGGGAGAGGGAGAGAGAGGTAGAAACATCGATGAGAGAGAACATCAATCAGCTGCCTCCAGCATGCCCCCCACTGGGGATTTGGCCCACAACCTGGGCATGTGCCCTGACTGGGAATCGAACTGGCGATCTCTTGGTGCACGGGTCAATACTCAACCACTGAGCAATACCGATTGGGGTCTTTATGTTTTCATTATCCATTGGTGAATTCATTCAAAAACAGTTTGGAAAGTAGCTACCATATAGAAAACACAGTGTTGGGCACTGGACAGACAGTGATGAAAAAACATAGCCCTTGCTTCCAAAAGTCTGCCTTCTAGACA